TATCAACATATCTACCTCAAGATAGGTAACTATATATACTGTATCCTGATATCCAAAACGGTTCCTAGCGCTATCTGTGAGACAGTAGCTAAACACAAAAATAAATTTATGCTTCTAACTTGAAAAGCATTTGAGTCTTTGGTTTTGCTACTGTCTTACAGATGGCGCTGATTTTCAATCTCATTTTGACGGCTCTCTTTGCGTATTTTAGTTGGATATCTCATTAGAGATGCGCAAAAAAATATTGAAGATCCTAAAGCCATCTGTGGGACAGTAGCAGAACCATACACTCTAGTACTTTTGAAGGGGACATCTAAATTAATCTTTGTGTTCTGCTACGCCATCTCACAAGTAGCTAAGATCTTTTAAATATTTTTCTAGGTGCCGAAATACATTACGTAGAATACGTTAATCAATAACTATATTTTTAATGAGTGATGGTCAATCTGCAAAATACTCTCTCTCTCTTTGAACTGCTCGTGAAATATATAAAGGAAATTGGAACCATTCATAATAATAAATATAAACCTTGCCACTAACAACTGCGCTATAGGTTGTTGAATCTATAATAATCTAACTTCGATGTTTATGTTTAAAATGACTTGCCTATGAACAATGGCCCTACTGCATTACAGGCACAGGCTAGACAACCAGTCTTGCACACCGTTCCATAACCTCACAAATTTTCTATTTTTACATTTCAAAACAGGAAAGGTTAAGGTTAAATTAAAGTTATTTGAGGAAACCCTACGATGTAAATTGTAAATATAGCACCGAAAACGAACAGCAATTATTGTCCGAACGATGTATTCGAAGTATCATAAGGCTCTCTGTTCAACAAATAAAGTATACAGATGTCTGTGCAATGGTTTGGTCACAGACGGTAGCACCCCTGGGGCCACAGCCCCTGCAGGCACTGGCATGCCCCCAAAAGATGCCAGGGTCGTTATATGTGGAGGAGGCGTGATGGGAGCCTCGGTGGCTTACCATCTTGGAAAACTGGGATGGGGTAAGGAGACTGTGTTGATTGAACAAAATCGGTAAGTTTCTTGATATACCTGCATTCGGCTTATATTTAACTCGTGGAAAATAATTAAAAAAACCCCCGTCATTTAAAGTATTATCTAATGATAGCTAAAGTTCGAGTTAAGAAAGCATTGAGCCTTCAAGGCATATTTTAAAAGTAAGATAAGCTTTTCTAAATATAGGGGTTCTAAATATCCTGACTAATAACTTCGAAAGTATGTAGATGACGCAGTATGTTATTCCTTAAGTTAAGAAAATACCACATGTTACAAAATATTAAAAACTCAGATGGCTCAGTGCTAGACTCAACACAGTATTGCAAACTACTTACACCCTGCATGAATAATGTCTAAAAAATGATATAAAGCTTAAACTTTTAGCTGAATAAAAGTAATCTTGTTTGCTTTTGATGAAACAAACTGTTTTTGAGCAAAACAATGTACCATACATATAAAGGTATACTGCGGACAATCTCCAAAATGTTTGACAAAAATCTAAAACCCAATTAAGTAATTTGGAAATTTTTATTTTTTTACATCTAATTCCCAAAATTACTGTAGACATGGCAATCAAAAATTGAAATAAGAGTAATTATCTCAAAAGCAGCTTGTTTATCATATTTTTTTCACCTTAGTTATTCCAAAAACGTCATTGTTGAGCCATTATCATACAGGGTGTTTAAAAAGCAATATTTGTTGTCTATGGATAGATAGACACCATCATGTAAGGCCCAAATGGTTCCTGTAATGTCATGCAACATGTCTATCAGAAAAGCAGCTTCAAATAATTTTGCTGATTTTTTATATGCTATGTATTTAAGTGTCCTTAACAAATTAATGTCTCAATGGTCATCAAAACCATAACCCAATAGGTCCCAAGATGTGTCCCATCTAGTTAGTATATTCAGGTATCACTCCTAATAAACTACCTACTCTACTTAGAAGAGTGGTTACAGTTAATTTGACTTAATCTGTCATATGTTACATACTACTTGGGATCCTGATCCAATGTCTCACGGGGCAGAACAGGGTTTGCAAAAAGGGTCAATGGTGGCCTATTTGTCAGGCTTTACTTTTGCCACCACTACTACTAGGTTTGTACCAATTAAGATATTTGTTCAAAATGCTAAGATACATAACATACAAACAATTCAGCAAAATTTACCTAAACCACATTTCTCATAAGTGTGTTGCAGAGTCATTGAGTTTTGAACAGGAGTTATTTAAGAAAAAACAATTTCCAACAGGATCCTAGGGGCATCTTTTTTATTGGGGAAATCCATATGACTTTTTTTCATGGGAAGTTTTTTATGTTCTGTAACCATAGTATCAGACCATATCAGAGGTCTGGTGCTTTGGCTAAACTTCTGGTTCCAAATATTTTTATTCACCATCATATGATTTTTATGTATATTTGGATCAACATTTTGAAATTTTGAATATAACACACTAATCTTTTCCATTTCCTGCAATCTGGGTTACATTTCTAGGACATTAGAAAGGTAACAATTGTCATATTATTCTGTTTCATATTTTTGTAAATGTACAAGCCATTTATTTCCAGTATTGGTGGAGGAACAACTTGGCATGCATCTGGCCTCATAGGTGTGTTCAAGCCAAGCTTGTCTCAAGTGAAACTGACCAAGTCAAGTGTAGATTTGTACAAAGAGCTTGAGAATAAAGGACTGTCAACAGGCTGGAAACAATGTGGTAGTCTCAACATAGCAAGAACTAAGGATAGGATGATTGTCTTTAAGAGGATGAAAGCTCAGTCTGTGTGAGTTGTGCTTACTATTTTTATGTGGATTGATATTTACAGTAATTATTATTAACATTTTGTTCTTTATTTCTCTGGGACTTCTATAGGTCCTTTCTATAGTTATAATTTTTATTATTATTGTGCAAGGCGCCGAACCCTGTGGAAGGTTTAGAGGGGGCTGGGCACCCCCCTAGACGACCAAGCCTATCATTTTTTTCAAGACAATGAGATATATTGCTATATCTTGGTGTAAAAATTACCTTGCTAGACCTGAATCGTGAAATGTGCGCCCAACCCCTTATAGATATATCCTGCACTCTAATTGCCACAAAGGCTTTTTCTCTCAGGTACATCTTAAACATACAGCCCCCATTTTCATCATCATCAATCAATGTCATATAACTATTACAATTATTGCTATTGCATCAACTTGAATTTTGCAGCATTCTTGTGTCGTTGTCGTAACTCGTATAATAATAGTACTATAAAGTATAAAATATATATAATGTAGTAAAACACCAAATAAATTACATAGGTCCTGGGAAATTGACTGTGAGATACTTACTCCTGAGCAATGCAAAGAAAAATGTTCCTTGTTAAGAATTGATGATATAATTGGTGGCTTGTGGATACCTGGAGATGGTGTAGGTGATCCATATGAAACTTGCTTGTCTATAATATCAGAGGCAAAAAAATGGGTAAGATTCTATTATTATCTGATATGGCATTTCATTTTGTTTGATGCAATTCTTATTAATTAGATGAAAGTCAATGTTTACATTCCTTTTTTAATAATGATGCAGATTATCCTTGGTTTTCACTATAATTTTGGAAAAACGTATTCTACATTCGTACAATAAAAGAAAAGCCATTTAAATCCACTGTATTGATCGCTGATGAGATGAACTAATAGTATTTGGTTTTTCCGCGTACCGATAACACTTGATCATAATATATACCCTATTTCACGAGTATCGATCACGGTAGAATGGCAGCTGGTTATCAATATTTCAAAATTCTCCATCTCGGCAAAGGACACATAATTCTGACGGATCCGTCAATGCCAGGTAGACACCGCCATATTTTGTTTTGGTTCTTTGAACGCTATTGATTCATTTTGTACTTGTTAAAAGCTCTTTTATTTAGAAACGTTCATTTACAGACTAAAAATAAAAAGCTACGAACATTTTTTTGCTAGATTTACAGCCGATTCATTATAGCCAACGATGCAGACTAACAAAAATGTCGCTTGCTGATCAGCTGTTCACCTCAGTAGACGTCAAAGCGTGATGGATACTCGTAAAATAGGGTGTATTTTTTTTTGAAATTTCGACAGTAGAAAATGAAGGTTATTCTCTTCACCTTTGCAGCTTCAGTATTGGAAAAAGATACTTTGTATACTTTATCCATTGTATGAAGTTAAAAAAGTGATTATAATGCTTCATATTTTTCCCACAGGAGTTCGCGTGATTGAGGGATGTGGTGTCAAAAAAATAGACCAAATTGATAAAAGAGTATCAGGAGTTGATACATCCTTGGGCTACATAAACTGTGAATACTTTGTAAATTGCGGTGGGTTTTGGGCTAGAGGTATCGGTCAGCTCTCAGAACCCAATGTAAAAGTACCTCTGCATGCTGTAGAACATTACTATCTCCATACAAAACCTATTCCTGGACTAGATCCTCTATTACCAGGTATGTTTTAAAAATGATTGGGCCTATAGTCGCTTATACAGCATAAGAAAACATTGTTTTTACTATTTAAAGTCTAATTTATTACTTCCACACTAATTTATTACGACACTTGCAACTAATTTATTACAACATGACCATGTCGACTGGACTATCGCATCTCGCGCGCTGCTGCTGAATCATCCTTGACTCTCCTCTGAGTGTGTCCTCTCTGCCTTCTCTGTGTATATTTATCTTCAGTCGAGGAATTCGGAAAGTATGCTCCCGCGTCTTGATCGAAATCCAGCATTCGTGAAATCGTCTAGTTGGCGGTAGATGCTTCTCGATGGCTGCCGAACATTCTCAATGTGACGCCAACGCTCTCGATATTCTGGTTGCTTAAGTGGTTGCCTAAGCGTCGATGTTGCAAAGCTGCCTCATTGTTCCTTTATGGATAATTAAATAATAACTGATTAAAATACATTGCAATACTTGTCCAATGAAGGTTCGAGATATAGGAACTTTGTGATTTTTTATGCCAAGTGTTGAGTTCTAAATCGACTATTGACCCTATATTATGACTTTTTTCTGTTTGCTGTATTTCACTGATAATGTCTTAACAGCTTTTAATAATTATATCTTATCTGGGAAATCTCTCCGAGTATTATTAAAGATCCTACAAATGTTGAATGATATAGTCATTTTTCTTGAGTTGTGGTATGAATTTTATTGCAACATTCAATTGTTTTTCTGTATTCTGCAAGCGAGATTGCCTAAACATTATGAGACATCTGGTGGATAGTAAACTAGCTGAACGTTCGTTTTTTCAACAGTTGTTAGAGATCAAGACGGCCATATCTACTTCAGAGAAAACAAAGGTCGTTTACTCGCTGGCGGATTTGAGCCAATAGCAAAACCGGCTTACGAAGACGGTAAAATTCCAGGTCAGTGTTAGCTATTTTGCATCAGCATTCCAACTGTTAAGGAATAATGAAAGGTCATATTTTCAGCAAGCAGCAAGGACCGAGCATTGCCTGAGGATTGGGATCATTTCCATGTGTTAATGGAGCAATTGCTTCATAGGGTGCCCAGTTTAGGCAATGCTGTGTTGGATAGGCTTTGTAATGGTCCTGAGGCTTTTAGTCCGGACTGCAAGTGGATTGTAGGAGAAACCCCGGAGGTATAGACATTTTCATTTACCCGTTTCATTGCTGTAGGAATGGGAAATTTGTTTTTCGAGTCCACTGTGTAAATAAATAGGTCCGTTTAACTATACGGAACATGGTTTAAATACAGCAGTTTTTTAGCCTACCTAATACCATGGTTATCTTGAGTCTTTGGTGTATGTGTTATAAGAAAAAAATAGCTTATCTTTACAAAATATAAAAAATATACGCCGAGTGAAGGAAAGTCACTTGAACACCTTGTAAAAAATTAGCAAGCATTCATTTTCTCAGATGCATTTCGATATTATTTTCAGATCAGAAATTACCTGGTAGCTGCAGGGATGAAAACTATCGGTATCGCGGCAGCTGGTGGGGTTGGAAAAGCTACTGCAGAGCTTATAGTAACTGGCGACACTGACTTTGATATGTACGAATTAGAGGTGTCTAGATTCTTAGGTCTCCATAATAATAGAAAGTTCCTAAGGGACAGAGTAAGAGAGGTTCCAGGACTGCACTATGGAATTATGTACCCGTTTCACGAGTTCCAGACAAGTAGGTGCCTAAACCATTAGTTTATTTCCATGTAGTATAGAATTAAATTTTCTATCGAAAGCGTTGTTTCTTTGAAAATACTGGGTGTCCAGTGGGAAAGTTCACATTTCAAATTTGAATTACGCAGCAACCGTATACGCGACGAAGCGGGGAGACGGGGATCGACGCGTTCGGCGTGCGGGTTAAATAGTCACAATGGAACGTTGGACCGGAGCGCAACGTGCTTTTGCTATCGAGGCTCACTTTAAGAGTGGTGATTGATACGCAGCTGCCCTTCGGAAATCTTGTACACGATACAACATTCGCCGACCAAGGGATGCCCCAAGTAAGACCCTATTGAAAAAGTGGCATTAAGAGGTTCCGTCAACCCCTTCCTAGCCCCACACCTACTGCATCAACCAAAGAAAATGTACGTCGAGTAAATGATGTCATTGCATGTTATTGCAAATCCTCGGCGATCTGTACGGAAGCATTCCGCTGCTTTGGGAATCCCTAGGTCAACACTGCATGGCATAATGAAAAAAATGGGTTTTTTATCCCCATAAAATCCAGTCAGTCCATGCTTTAAAGGAAAGTGATTACGTATTACAAAAATATTGTGCTGAACGGATGTTGAATCTTTTTCCTACGCACCGCAAACTCGAGAACGTTGTTTCAGCGACGGGCCCTTTGCCCTTTTCACTTGAACGGTTATGTGAACAAAACAAAATGTCAGATATGCGGCACCAAAAGAGAAACATCAACAACAAGCCGTATTTCTTTGAAGATACACTTTTCTTGCTCCTATTGTAAGAACAGAACGTCGATTTAACAGAAGCACATGGTTTCAACAGGATGGGGCCGCTGTCCATACTACCACAGAACAATTATGGACACGGTGAATGCACTTTGTCCTCAAATAGCTATATCGAAGTTTGGAGACATTCACTGGCCTCCTACGTCACCCGACCTCACGCTATGCGATAATTTTTTAAGGGTTCTCTAAAGTCAAAAATGTATTCCAATAATCCACGAACACTGGAAGAGCTTAAAGACAACATTCGACGAGAATAAACAACATCACTCCGGTACTCTGCAAGGGAGTGTTTCAGATTTACGCGCACGATTAGAGGAGTGTAATAATAAATATTTTCTTTTCATTAAGTCTGTTTTTTTTTTCTTAAATCAAAAAGTGAGCTTTCCCACTGGACACCCTACATATACTTCAAAATGTATAGTAATCATTCACAGTTCAATTCATCAATTGTGTCAACAAAAAATGACAGTGTTTTTACACATATGCATAATCTGAAATCTGACGAATGGAATAATTCAGTTCACCTTTCTATATCTTGAATTAATTATTTCAGGTAGAAATCTCAGGATGTCCCCTGTATATACGAGAATGAGAGAAGCTGGTGCAGTTTTTGGACAGGTGATGGGATATGAAAGACCAACTTGGTTTGATCCAAACATCATACACGGTATATCACTTATGAAATGTAGAATATAACGTCCATTCATTCAGTCTTTTATTAATTCTACTTTATGTAAGACTGACCTTGTTTTCAGTCTGTTTATGAGCATAGCCTTACTAAGGTTGATGCCACACTTATGACGGGCAAAGCGGCTGAAGGCAACCCCTCTCTCGTCCATCCAAAGGTTTTGTTTGTTAATGAAAGATATACCTATTTTTTCTCTTTTTTTTTAATGAAAACTCCCTCAAATCCAGAAAGAGCAATGGACCTTGGATACTGTTGAACCTATCATGAATTCAATTTATAGCCCGTTGGCTGAAAAATGAGATCCTAATTAGGATCTGGCAGAATATAAACGCTCCTCTTAGGTATATCCCCGAAAGCAAAGATAGTTACCTCATTTAGCACTCTGTTAATGTCGGCCTGTGGGAATCAGGCTGAGCACCTCGTCATTATTCCTGATTACATGGAGAAATGGGATCTGGATGCCCATTCACTCTCTTACGCTGAATCTGTTTGAGCCGTTTTAATTGACCAATCAGAGTCGCGCTATCCGGTCTGGCTTTCGAATAACAAAATTCTATAGTCCAGTCCCAGTAGGAAGTTTTAACATAATATTGCCGTTGCCCACGGGAAGTGATAAGCGTAGTCGTAACAGAGATGCTATGTACTTGTAGTTATCCTAGAGAAAACATCTATAGTTTCCATAAGCAAACGTCTACTTCATGCGCTAGGTGCTTTAATTGTCACCATACCTTTAGGGCTCCATCAAAAATGTGGCCAGTCCCAAATGGAGGCTAATATTCGAGATAAAGAAGAAACAAAAACACTTGCATTAAATAATTGGAATAAATAGTTATAGGTATTCACTAAGTTTTAATTTTTACAATTGCTTCTGCAAGATAGCCAAATGACAAATATACGCTTTCTTTGCAAATTTTAAAATTCTAAATAAGTTTTTTATGTTACAATGACTGCAACTCCTAAATCCATATCACTTATTTTCGTTGGTCAGCTTTTCAGATCGTTCCCAAAGTTGTTTTTGTATGCTTTACAATATTCTCAAGGTTTTTGAGCGCCATCAATCATTTTTTGGAGAGATCAATTTAAAAAAATAGTGTTCTGATTTTGATTCTTAAACGGCATTTTTGACTCCAGGAATTTCATTTTGTATACACGGAAAATTTGAGAATAGGCATATGTGAATTAGAGGGAAGTACTGACATTATTTTTTTTTTTTCGGAAAACTTTGTTTTCAAATCATACAAGGCTGAAGACGATTTCAGTGTTTTGACAGTTTCTGCCTTCGAAGACAATTCCAAGTCTGAGAATCATAGTTATCTCATAGAAGTCCTAGTACAATTTAATAACTTTTAATTTCAAAAAGCTTCCATCTGTAATCTGGAGGCTGAACAATAGAAAGCATGCCATGATCACCTAGCCATACGAACTAAGGAATAGTGCTCGAGAATTTATAGTTTGGCGTATGGACTGAAAACTAAGTTTGTAGATAATAATTTACGTATTTTTTCTTCCATACGTTGGGGACCCTATGAGGTGGGGGCCCCTTATCATTGATATGTCGGTAGCTAAGCCTCTTCTTATCCTGCCATTAAGTTTCCTTTATAAGTGCTACTATATAAAATTCATATTTTTGTAGATACAGAAAATCCACACGATTGGTGTACTCCATATCGGATGGCTTATACAAACACATTCGCAAAACCACCCTGGTTTGACTGCGTGGCTAAAGAGTATGAAGCTTGTAGAGAACGAGTGGGGTTGGCAGATTATTCTTCGTTTACAAAAATCGATCTATGGGTAAATATGGATATGGTTCTTAATTTGAAATAATATACTGCTTTTGTCCGCCCGTCCAACTATGCACACGCTATTTCATGCTCATCGGCAATCACCAGAATGGCCTAAATGTCGAGCGAGGACAGTGAATTAAAGCAGAGCAAAAGCATCCCTTAGCATTGGCATAAAGTCTATTAGAATACGACAACTCAAATACCATATATGTATTAGAGTTTGTTGTTTACAACAAGATTGACTCAATGCTGCAGATTTCCCAGTGTTGAAATTTGACACTCCTAAAAAATGATTCATTTCTCTTGACAATGTGACAAAGATCTTAATCACCAGTAGCCCATAGCTAGTAAGCATAAAGGTATTTCAACTCACGAACTGTCATAATTTCAGTCTGAAGGTAACGAGGTAGTTGACGCCCTCCAGTATGTCTGTTCGAACGACGTAGATGTCCCAGTTGGCAGTATCATTCATACAGGGATGCAGAATAAACATGGAGGTTACGAGAATGATTGTTCATTAGCCAGATTAGCTGAAAATCAGTGAGTATTTGAGAAAACTTATAAATTTTGTCGTGTCACCGCCAACTATATAATTAAATATAACCATACAAATCACCTGATCGGGCTAGGGACATTTGCGAACATTGTTAACTTGTAAGTTACTAAATATTCCACCAGAATTGCAGACAAATTTGCATGAAAAATTTAGCTGATTGATTTTCAGGCAAGACCCGGCACTAGCAAGAAAGTGACAGGAAGAAACATCTGTTTTGTTAGTGCGCGTGTGTCTGATCAATATGTCTGTTGCATCTTGCTGACTGCAAAACGGATATTACTGCCTGAAGAATAACATATGGCTTATTGACAAAGCTGAATTAAAACTAAATTATAACAAAATAACATAAAATTTCATATCTGCATAAATTTTCACACCATTAGAAATTATTGAATCAACAAGTGTCGATTTAGGTAACGTTAATTTAAAATGCTCTTTTTGTCTAATATCGTAACTTAGATTCAGTTTTTCAAGCTTATATTTCCAGTAATAAGTGTTGCTGTTCCTAAAATGAAATGTGATACGACAGTAATTATTTTAAGGTTTAGAAATAAACGCCTGCTAAAAGATTGCTGGTAGTTATATATCAAATTATTCGTTTGGTAGACAACAATTCTGAGAACAGATACATCTAAAGGGAATGTTATTAGTCTATGTTCAAATAAGGCAAAGTAACTGTTTAATACTATGCGTTTCCCTACCTACTAATTTATAGTAATAATAGTCTAACCATAGATGCGAAAAAATTGTAAAGTCTGGTTTTATTGGTGCAAGTTGTTTAAGGGGGTATTTAAAACATGGACGCATAAAATGGGTACACCAATTTTTGTAGGAAAACTTTTTATTCAACAACAAAGAATGACAACACGTGTTTTTTGAGATTCAATCCAAAGTGTTGTCAGGAACGAAAAAACTCTCCATATATGATTTTTAGATATTAATGAGACCTACAAAATGAGACCACACGTAAAAAGATCCGACTTATACCAAAAAGTTATGACCGAAAACCGAGGCAAACTGCAGGCTTTGAGACTGGTTGGTATGCTACGACGCTACATTGGTCAAGTAGTTTTTGAGAAATTCTAAGTGTTTATCGCCAAACACCTGTTTGCCGGCCATCACTACTAGTTTATTGAGCAATGTACAGGGTTAGTACAAAGGGCATTTTATAGTATAATACACTAATTTGCCTTGCCAATATGAATCGCAATGCATTCCGGAAATTCCGGAAGATAAATATTATTTTTGTGCAAAAAAGAATGGGTTACGTGTTTTTTTTCTAGACAAACTCGGACATATCGTATCTGCGTGTTATTCGCAACAAAAGATCATAGACACATCCTCTTTATTTTGAAATGTGTATAGTAACGTATGTTTTTCGAATATCGTAGCGCATTTGCTCAATTACTCACAAATAATACATGTTTGAATTTGCTTGCTGTTTAACGGTAGTGTTTGAGCAAAAAGTATTAAAATAAAATTTTATACTGTAACTTTTAAAATGCCGCGAGTTGAAATTTCTGGTTTTGATAGAACATGAATAGTAGCCCTCTTCCAAGCTGGATTTTCAAATCGCCGAATAGCACTGGATTTGGGTATCCCAAGAAGTTCGGTTATTCGAACAATTCAAGGATTCCAAGAAACTGGCTCAGTTGAAAATCGGCCACGCAGTGGGCGTCCTCGAGTAACAGATGATAGGGAGAATCGTTACATTGCTCTATTTGCCCGAAGGAATAGATTTTCAACAAGTACAGCTATCAGATCGCATATTCAACATACCTTTCGAAGAGTTGTTTCCACTTCTACCATCAGAAAAAGATTGCGAATGGCAAATTTGCGCCCTAGAAGACCTTTAAGGGTTCCACGTCTTACTCGTAGACAAATTGCTGCTAGAGAACATCAGGAGTGGCTTTTACCACAGTGGCGAAATGTGGTATTTTCAGATGAGGTTAGGTTTGGACTGGTGAGTGATGACCGTAGATTAAGGGTTTGGAGAGTATCAGGACATCAACACCGACTAAATTTGGCCCGAGAACTTGTCCCATATCAGGGCGGATCAATAATGTTTTGGGGAGGCATAATGTTTAACCACAGGAGTCCTTTAATTCAGATCCAGGGGACAATAACTGCAGAAATTTATGAAGAAAATGTCATACAACCCATTATTCAACCTTTGCGAAATGAATTCGGTAACAACTTCATTTTTATGGATGATAATGCAAGGCCACATGGAGCGAGAAGGGTCCAGCGGGCTCTAGAAAGGGGCCAAATAGTGAGATTGCCGTGGCCTGCGAACTGCCCAGATGAACCCCACTGAAAACATTTGGGACACTAGCTCGAGCCGTACGGAACAGAATAGATCCACCTACAATCCTAAATGAGCTGGCTGCAACAGTAAATAAAGAGTGGAATAATTTACCCCAAGAAAACATTAACCACCGAATAATAGGAATGCCAAGGCGTGTTAACGCACTGCTAAGATCTAATTTTTGCTACCTTACTTTTAGGTGATTTTAATTTAAATTATTATGGTAAAAGCATGAAAACAAGAAAATTGAAAGAAACCATAAACAACTATGGGTTCAAGCAAAAAATTGAAGAGAGTACCAGAATAACATCATTATCAGAGACTTTGTTAGATCTTGTTATTGTAAATTTCGAATGTCCAGGGATTAAAGCTGTACATACACCTAAAGTTAGCGATCACAGTTGGACAATGCTGCCCTTGGTAGGGCATTTTTCTGATACAAAAATTAAGAAAATCGTAAATACTATTAATTACGAAAAACTTGAACGAGAACTTGCTGGCTGCTATTGGAATTTTGGTGAGAATATGGAAAAAATATATGACAACATAATAGGAAATATAAAAACTTGTTTAGATCTTGCAACTGATAACAAAATGAGAGCCTCGACAAATAATACTCCCTGGTATAACAAGAATATTAAGGCAGCTCAAAATTCGAGAGACAAACAATACAATAAATGTATATTCACAAAATCAAATGATGATTGGGAGGTATATAAAACTACGATAAACAAATCGATAATAACAAGTGCGACAGTGCAAAGATGTGGAAGACTTTAAAATGACTGATCAATTCGAAGCCGCATGATTGTGTAAATCAAGTTCAATTCGAAAACGGTACCGAAACAAATTCTTTGGTGATTGCAAACAAACTAAATGAATATTTTGTGGAAAGTATTGTTGATATTGTAGGTACTGCCAATGCTGCACCTGTCTATATGAAAATCAGTTTCCAAGGGAAATGTTGCATACACTTTCAAAATTTCACAGCGTATCATTGAATTATCTAAGAAAAAAAGTAAACAGTTTAAAATCAAATAACAACTGTGCCGAAATGACTACTAAAAACGTGCTGAAAAACTGTTTCGATATTTTGGGATATCCTGTATTAAATTGGATCAATTGTTCACTGAGAAGCAGTTCTTTCCCTGAAAATTTGAAATGCTCTACAATAACACCAGTTCCCAAAATAAAAAATTCTAAAAGATGCAGCGATATGAGACCAGTAAATGTGTTACCAGACATTGAAAAATTATTAGAGTCCATAGTGCATGACCAATTAATGCAGTTTATAGAAGAAAACAAAATTTTAGTGGAGGCGCAAGCAGGCTTTCGAAAAAAATATTCCACAGAAACAGCTTTCCAGTTGGTAACTGAGAATTGGAGAAGAGCCATAGACTCAGAAGAAGTTGTCATAGCAGTATTTTTGGATTTTTTTTTTTTTTTTTTTTTTTTTTTTATTTACATAAGCTGCATCAGCTAATTAGCTATTAGCAGCGGATTTAATGTGTACATGAATCAAATTTTATGTATTAAATTACAATGGCTCAAGAACAACATTAGATTTCGGACATTGCAGGTGGCTCCAATTATGTCTTTTAGAGTTTTACCACAGAGATTAAACTGATGTCTTTGTTGTTCGAACATTGGACACTCCACTAGAATGTGTTTTACCGATAAAACGCTTTCACACATAAAACACATTGGTTCAGGGTCACGGGTGATGAGGTAGCTGTGGGTGATTCTTGTGTGGCCCAGTCGGAGGCGGGTTATTATCACTTGCAGTCTCCTTTTTTCTGTTACTGTTTGCAATTCGTTGAGCTTGGGTTTCACTTCTTGTAGCTTGGAAGGCTTGTTCCTCCACACACTATTCCACTGGTCTATTGTTTTGCCTTTTACATATACCTTCATATCTGATGCTGGAACTGGGAGGTTGCAGATGCTGTTGTTCGTTGCCGCTCTTTTAGCGTTTGTATCCGCTGTTTCATTCCCTGCTATTCCTTTGTGAGATGGAGCCCACATAAGTACTATAATCTGGTTATTGTTGGTGAGTTGAGTAATTGTTTCTTGTATTATCTTGGCTATCGGGTTTTTTGTATATAACTTATTGATGGAGTATATTGAGCTAAGTGAGTCTGTAATGATTATCCATTTTTGGTCAACGGAGCTTTCTATATATTTTAATGCTTCCAGAATCGCGTAAAGCTCTCCTGTCAGAGTAGTGGCTGAGTCCGGAATCTTCAAGGTCTTGATGGTTGTTGGTGTAACTATTGCTGCTCCGCAGTTTGATCCTTGTTTCGATGCGTCGGTAAATATTAGCTTGTGGTCAAGATATTTACCAACGATTTCGTAGAAATTCCTCTGTATTATTTCGTTAGGGGTGCTATGCTTGTCTAGTTCTGTTAGCTGGGTATTTACACGAGGAAGCTGAACAGCCCAAGGTGGTGCGTTTGAGACTTTGACTGGATATAATTGAGGCATTTGGCTTATATTCAACTGTATTAGGTGAGATCTAACTCTTCTGTGTAGTGGTGGAATGTGCAATGGATTTCTGTCGTATTCTATGAGGGTGCGTAGGTTTTTAGAAGTGGGAGCATCTGGGTTTGATGCTGTGTTAATGATATATGATGAACTGAGAATGTCTCGTCGCAGTTGCAGTGGGGGTTCTCCTGCTTC